CACCTTGGGGAGTTTGGCAAGTGATAATTGTCTTATGACACCTGTCACTGTAGAGGTTGCTTTAATTTTAGTATCATCAGAGGTCCCCTAGACCGTGCCCTTGTAAAGTAACAGTTAATTGCAGGGTGTGTGTGTGTGTGTCTGTGTGTCGCTGTGTAATGACTGACACACAGCTCCTCTTTAATATTCACTGGACCACACTCTATGAAATGGTTAGGGTATTTTTTATGCAGCTCGCAATTAAAATTAATTGTGCTGTCTTTTTAGTTGTATACTCACAAAGATAATTGTAACAAACAAGCCTTAAAAAATGACACTGGCTTTGTTATTAAATATGTGGCTAAAATTGCTGGCATGCAATATTTAAATGAGTCTATTGGGAAAGTTGGGATTTGTGTTGGACTTTTACTTTCAGTGCATTAAAAAAGCTGTTAATGTTTCCTTATCCTATATCCTTGGATATTTTTAAATGCACTCTTTAAAGGTGGGGTAGGTAAGTTTGAGATACCGGCTCAAGATACACTTTTTGTTATATTCCATGGAATGCTCTTAACATCCCGATAGCAATGAATATCTTAAGTGCTTTGACAATAAATCCATACAAAAATGTCATCTGTGGAAGCCGTAATACTGTAAAAAGTACGACCAATCATTTTAGCCGGCCCGGCTAAAATAACTGGATGGCCTACCTGCCTGTCAGCCTTCCATCTGTGCACAAACTTATCTCGTGTCCTCATTGGTCATGTGCGCGTTCGTGTGTGTTGGAGGAGGGGCTCTGTAAGGAAGTGGCAGATTTTTTCCGGCTGTGTATTTTCAAATTCTTGCGCACTCGAGCTGGTTTCTCCAAAATTACCTACCCCACCTTTAAAAGGTCCCATATTGAGAAAAGTGAGATTTATATGTATTGTTTTGATTAAAAAGCAGGTTTAGGTGCTGCGTAAATATTGTGAAAATATCATAACACTCAGAGAAATGCCAAAAGCCTTTATCAAGAAACTGCTTTCAAACAACTGCGTTCAGATACCGGGTAAAAACTAAGGTGGCCGACAGGTGCTAACGCACTACAGCGGCCCAAAACACTTCCATTAGCAGAAGCGCGCTGCACATTCATAACTATGCAAATAGAAAAATAGAAATGTGCCAAAACACATGCAAAAAAAAGAAAAACCTCTTTACCAACTTGACGAAACATGCACAGGGTTTACTCAGAGTGCTGCATAAACTAAACGCTGCAAATACGAAAAAGCTGCAAGAAGCTAAAAACACAACAAAAAAGGGGACTAAAGGTGATGCACACAGCTGGGAATGGAGCGCTTGTTGACGTTAACTGTCACAAAGGCCAACTGTCAAATAAGCATAACGTTCCCCTTTAAATGTTACCAAGTAGACCATTTTGGTGACCATAACACGCTAATAAATGACTTTAATCAACACTATCCTTGATGCTGTTGCTTCATTAAATCAGGTCTCATCATCCTCAACGCCTGGTACGGCAAGTTTGTGACGGACAACAGCCGAAAACACGAGAGGGCAAAGGTCATCGATGTGAGTGTGCCACTGCAGTGTCTGGTGAAAGACTCTAAACTCATCCTCACTGAAACCACAAAGGTAAGATTTACAAACTCTAAGAATGTATTCAAAACCTAATTTCTCCACAGATTCCTTCCAGCGTGATGATTCAGACTATTCATGACCTAATTGTGTCTTTGCAGTCAGGACTCCCTGGTTTCTACGACCCCTGTGTGGGGGAGGAGAAGAGCCTGAAGGTGCTGTATCAGTTCCGCGGAGTCATGCATCAAGTCCTGTCAGGAGACACGGAACCACTCAGGATACCAAAGCAATGTAAGACAGAATGCACTCTACAGCACAGTGACTCTCTAGAATGGGGATTATGTCACGTTTTTTTGCCCCAGTCAAAGTAATATTTAACTTCTTCAGTGAAGGTTTAAAGATTAAGAAGGTAGTCTTGAACTCTCTTACCGGCAACTGTTTCAATTCTTACTGTTAGACGGATTTACCCTTTGTAGATGTTTGTGATGCAACATATTTCAAGTATTGTATTTTAACTGAGAGATCCGCTGATTTATCTTACCTGTCACCTCCGCGCCATCAGCGTTGTGTCTGACGTCTTTGTTTCTTCCTCTGTACAGCTCACAGGATTGACGCAGACACATAGGCGCTCCTCGGCCGACCAAAAAGACTCATCTCTCAGCTGTTTGACAGAAGATGGATACAACTGTTTTAGATACAACATGGATTGAGGTCCTTGTTACTCAGAAAACGTGCATTTACCTTCTTGTCTTTATATTAATTTAAATATGCAGAGCGGAGTAAAAACATCACAGACTGGAGTGATCATAATTCAGGATCTATGGACAGGGTCGTGGCCTGCTAGAAAGTCTAATGTGACACCCCAATCAATGGCTACCATATTAAGTCCCGGGTCTTTTAGCCTTCTTGGTATCCATTTATTTTTGGTATGGCTTGTCTTTTATGATTGAGTTCTATGTACTGTAATGTACACAAACTGCAGTGCCTATCTGAATGACGACATGAATGCACCTCTGTTTATTTGCCATATTATTAAAATAAGTCTCTCTAATGTTGCTTTACCATTTTGGAGCTTTTTTTTTTTTCAAAAACAGAAAAGGTTTATTTTAGTTTGTTGTGTTTGTTATTATTGGTTTAACCCAGTTTAGAGAAGAGTTGCTTGTATGTCAGTGTTTTGGGGGAAATGTGTGATTTTGAAAGACAATATAATTGTTAAAAGTAATAAGGCACTATATGTCTATTGGCATGGGAAAAGTGCATTTAAAAAGGTTTAGATTGGCAAGTGTATTTACTTAAATGTTAAATGAATTCATGGTTCAACATCTCCCTATGATCCTTTTCTGGATCTGAGTGAATTGTTTATGCATTTTTCTTCCTTGACTTGTTTGCCAGTTTGTGTGCCATAAATAGAAAGGAGAGGATTAACTGAAACAACTGCAAGACCTAAGATTGCTTTACCCCCTGTGGAAAATGCACCCTGCCTTTTCAAGAATCATAACGAGCGGATTATGCAAAGAGGGCTGACATATTGTCTATTTATTTTTTTCTGAAACCTCAAACAACATCTCTACAATGATTATTCTTTCGAAAGCATATTAAGTTTGACACATTGTTCATCAGGGAAGTCTAGTTTCTTTTTCAAGGATAACTGACTGATATGGTTTGGTGATCAATTTAACTAAAAGGACTTGTGTTTAAATACTATATACATACAATACAGAAGGCCAATATATATAGTCACACCTGTGAGTCTGTGACACTAGCTGCCTTTTTGATTAATGACTTCACTATGTAATCATGTAATTCTTTATCTGGATAATCCCTTTTGAGTCAGTATTGTTCTAAAGACATCTCTGTGCTCCTGCAGCTGATTCGTAAAGGCTGTAATTATTCAACGTATCTAAGCGTTCTCCTCTTTGTTTTTGGCAGTTGTTACTTGTTTATTTTACACAAGTTAATCAATTACACCCTTCGTTAGATCATTACGGTTGTGTTTAAAGTTTTCCAGGACAGGTGGAGTTAACTCATCTGTAGCAAAGCAGATCAAAACAAAGTCTCCAAACAAAACAGTTTGGTTATTTTTGATCGAATTGATCAGGACATGGCATTAACAGCACATAGGTCATTCCAGAATTGGAGGACATTTCATGTCCCCCATATAAAAAATCTAATAATCCATGCCCAAAAAGCTAAGACATGCACTTGTTATATACTTGTCTTGAGACAAGATGCATATAAAGTTGTAGAAAAATATTTCAAAATATTATTTAAAATATCAAATAGCTCTCGAACACCCCCTAAAATTGCCCTTTTCTCTTGTCCCAGCTTCTTGGTGACCAACTTGCATGTCAAATATAACATTTAAAATAGGGTTTTTATTTACTTTTTTGGTATTATTCTATTGATATATGTGTCTTGTAATGGTAAAATTAATTTGTTAAATCATAAACACATTTTAAATAACAGTAATTTTGCACAGAAGGTGTGTCCCTCAACATGCGCGCAACCCTGTTACCGAAACCTTTTTAGCTTGGCAGAGGAAGTGAAAAAACTGTTTGTCGCATGACACAGTGGAAAGGACATCAGCAAGTCATGTGCTACTACCATGGGTAGACCAAAACTAAGTCCTCTCTTTTATTTGTAATATATTTCCAATCTTGTCACTCTTGAAGGAGTGTGGCACTCATACAAACGCAACCCTGTTACTCAAATTATGAGACTAAAACAAATTAATTTCAAATGTATCTTTCTTTAGTTAAATATCTAAGTGTGTCCATTCCTTGACAATAGCATTACATTGTGCAGCTAGCATTAATTCCTGAGGTAAAAGCTAAAATTAGCATTGATTTTCAACCCTGTTACTTGCAACCCTGTTACTATAATTAGAGTAACAGGGTTAATTCTTCATTGGAAAATATACATTTGATGCCTTAGCTGGGCAAATCACTTTTTTTGATGGTTTATTATCTGTTTTTCCTAAATACATAACAAAAAATAATAAAATGAAAGGTTCATTTTTCAAAAATGTTGGTGTCTAAATTGTCCTCCAATTCTGGAATGACCCACATGACAATGTATTATAGTAATACATAATGCATAACTGCAGCTGTGACTCACTGTTAACAAAAAAAACACAATTGATATTAAAAGCTCTTTCTGCTACTGAAACTGACTAAATGCTAAAATAAATATATATTTATCGACAGTGGCGGACTGGCCAATAGACAATTTACTAGCGGTACCGAAGTGGGCCGGTCGAGATGCCCGGGCTGATTTTTAGTCCGAGTCCGCCCCTGTTTATCGACTTGTTTTGGAGCACGTATTCCACATCCATAATAAGCGCCCGGCTGTGAATAACGAGCGCACCCTTGATATGTCACTGGATGAATAATGTTTGATGGGAAACAATAATGATTTCTGTGGAAGTAGAGGAATAAGAGGCCCTTCCTTAAACTACTGAAAAGCAACCGTCCTTATAGTTTTTGACTTGACGGTGTCGTTACCCGAACTGCACTTCCGGCACGGAAGTTTACCGCTTGCAGACAATACTGAGACCCTTTTGTCTTTATGTTAAGCTCCTGTTTACCCTTAAGTTTCATCACATTATAGTTAAAGGGTAAAACAACTGATTGTGGCAACGCTCTGGTCTGGCTCAGACACAAAGAGAAACCCTATGAATGAAGCTGCAGTACCGTCAATGTCCCTTTCAAAGGTAGGTGTTCATCTTTCTGCCATCAAAACAACAATCTGTTTTCACTCGACAGCTGTCAGTGGAAGACTGCCTTAAGAAGAGTCTCTTGGAGTCCGTGGTAAACATTATCTGAGTTAATCTACTTTATATTTATACTTTACTATTTAGTCAACTTGCATTTATTTGATAACTTAAAGGTGGGGTAGGTAAGTTTGAGAAACCGGCTCGAGATACACTTTTTGTTATATTCCATGGAATGCTCTTAACATCCCGATAGCAATGAATATCTTAAGTGCTTTGACAAAAAATCCATAAAAAAATATCATCTGTGGAAGCCGTAGTACTGTAAAAAGCACGACCAATCATTTTAGCCGGCCCGGCTAAAATAACTGGATGGCCTACCTGCCTGTCAGCCTTCCATCTGTGCACAAACTTATCTCGTGCCCTCATTGGTCATGTGCTCGTTCGTGTGTGTTGGAGGAGGGGCTCTGTAAGGAAGTGGCAGATTTTTTCTGGCTGTGTATTTTCAAATTCTAGCGCACTCGAGCTGGTTTCTCCAAAATGACCTACCCCACCTTTAAGTTGAGAATGAGTTATGCATCATTCTATCACATTATCAATAATAACTATAGTATAAATTATACAATAAACGTGAGTACTTTCACTTTTGCTCCATTAAGTATTTTGATGTTACAGTAGTTATGTTTGCACTTTTACTCAAGTAACTTTTGAAATAAGTGTTTTTTTACTATATCAGAGCATTTATTCACTGTAGTAGTGCTATAATAGATCTGAGTACTTTGTCAACCCTGCTTGTAGCCTAGCTCTCAGTGAAATAAATATCAAATAACATATATTATATGTGTAATGTGTAAAACGCACAATGAAATAGGAAGTGTGCTAAAAGACTGATCAGCTATGATTAATGCATGCAAAAGGCAAGCATTTGTCTGTGTGCAAAACACAGACATCCAGCATAAAGTGTGATATATTTTCTGAATCAACAAATAACCATATGATCAATGTCTTGTATTGTTTCCGTGACAGTAAACATTATTTTTTATTTTACAAGGCACCTCAGTCAAATATATATGTGTATAATAAAGTATATAAAATAACTGAAGAAGGGAGATGAAATAGCAGGATGATAAACCACCAGGAAAACCGAAATGTGTATGGGAAGTGTCTGGTGATACATTTAGACTTTAACGGATGACTGTACTCAGGAGAAGGTTAAATATGGTGAAGGTGAGGTGTTTGATGTGAAGAAAATAAATGTGAAGGTATGTTTTTCCCAATAAGCTCCACAAAAGGAGGAGATGATTTTGATGTTGTAGTTTGGTTGCTCTCTCGAGACCATCTCAGTGTATTGACTCTCTTGTGTTCTATAATGTTCATACTTACATTTAGAGTAATTGCATGTGTGATAAATGACTTAAAATGTAGTGTTTGCATCAGTATTAATCTATTTTTATCAGTTTACTATCCAGAAAACATCTCTCTGCTAAGCTGATAGGTTATAGACATAACTGATTCATAATGTGTAATCAATGGGGAGCATTGTTTAAAAGCCAGTGTTGAAAAACTAACCTGATTATCCAGATTTCAATCTTTTTGGTCTGTTCTCGTCAGTTCTTCCCTATTTCTCTGGAGATCCTGGAGGAGATCTTCCTGAATCTTCCTCCTGGTGAGGTGGTTCGTGTCTGCCGGGTAGTGTGCCATCAGTGGAAAGAAGTGGTTGATAGTAAGTCCCTGTGGAAAGAGAGATGTAGAAGGGAAGGATATAACCTCAGTGATACTTCCAAAAATCCTGAAGACTGGAGGTTGTTTTACTTCTTGTGCAAGCAGAGAAGAAATCTTCTCAAGAATCCTAGAGGAGAAGGTAAGCAGTCACATAACATACTTTAAACAACAGTCAGTTGTCCAAATACAACATGATTTCTATCACAACTCTCCTTTTTTGTTTTGACAGAGGAACTCAGCGGCTGGCTGATTTTGAATAATGATTATAGATGTTTTCGATATGGTGGTAGATTTGGTGGTTTGGATGGATTTGGTGGTAATAGATGGGCAGTGCACGCGATCAGAGAGCCTCATCCAGATGAGACAGTCCAAAAAAACTTTGTGACCTCTTACAAGTGAGTATTTACAAGAAGAGATGCAGAAAACATATCGCACTCATGTTATATGCTACAATCCTATTATGTTATATTTAAAACATTTTGTATTCAGCATGGCGAAGAAGTCACAGCTGATTGATTTGGAGAAGGAAGGTTACAGCCCGTCGTTCATGGATCACTTCCAGCCAGATATCCGAATATCTGATTGGTGAGCAAAATACACAGAAACTTGGGAATGGAATAATTCCAGTTTATCACATAGTTATTGCCCTTCATTTATAACAACTATACCATTGAATGCACAAAGTTAAATGGTGAACTTGGTGCTTGTAGCAACTTTGATAAAAATGAATCAGACTGATGTCTATGTGTCGTACCAGGTATGCACCAAGATGCGACTGCGGCTGTATATATGAGATCCGTGCAGAGCTTTTGAATGAAAAAAAGAGGCCTATTCAGACATTTGCTCCGGAGATTGTTGAGTTTACGTATGGGAGTGACGAGCGATGGAATGAGGTATGAACAGAGCAAGACTCATTTCATATTATGATTATTTTTAGAAAATGCTCTGGGACAACTCTGGACTTATTGATATTTGTTTTACAGATGGCCCATGTATTCAAGAACTATGGACCAGGAGTGAGGTACGTCATTTTCACCCACGGAGGCAGGGACACACAGTTCTGGGCAGGATGGTATGGGATTCGCCTCACCGAAAGCTGCGTTGAGATATGTCCAGCAGCGGACAAATAGCTCCTGCTTTTGCTTGAAATTGCACCTCTTATTTGCCTTATATAATCTTCTGTTATGTAATGTGTCAAGGAATGTTTCTCTCACTGCTAAACTATGAATATGTGCAGTCTTTATGAAATGTTACGTTGTAACAGCCACAGTTTGAGAAAATGTACAAGTACAGTAGCAGAGCACATCCCCTCATTGTTAAGAGGATCTTAATCCTCACTAAAAGTGCCTCCGAAATATTTTTGACATTCCTCTCAAAATAAGCAGTTCAACTTCAATCAATACTTTGGTTATTTACCCTTTAGTGATGTTCCCTGACCACTGTCATAAAATGGGTTTGCACAGTATAATGTGGAGTGATAATATTATGTTTTAGGTGACATGAAGGCATCAGTTGAACAATAAAGTACAGTTACTTCAGGAATAAAATGCATCTTTTGAGCATGTCTTTGTGAATGTTAAAAGGTTCACCACTACTGTTCGGCATATCAGCCTTAATAGAAATGTTATTTGCACAGCCCAATGAGATGTTTCCAAAATGCACACCTGATTTTTTTCCTAGGGTTCGTTCGATTAAAATCCTTTTTCTTTTGTATTGATCAGTCCGTCTAGGTAGGCTATGTCTGCTCTGGCATTTTATAAACTTTTTTTATGTTTACAAGTTTTTAGCCATGGTTGTGTAGGCCTACTTATTTGTCTTTATTTTTATTGTATTACTAATATGTGCTTTACTTTTTTATTATTTCATATCATAATTGATACCTATAATATTTGTACCTGCTATTCAACTTTTGCTCTAACACTGTACATTTCCCCGCTGGAACTAATAAAGGATTTCTGATTCTGATTGTTTTTGTTCTTCTGCAGCTACATGGGTTGACCGGGTGAAATAAACTCTTCTTCAGTGATTACACATATCCTGGAAATGTATGATTCAAAGGGGTTCGTTTTTAATGTCATCCGGCGTACACCGAAATGTACGGGTGGGGCGGTGCAGAAAATAAGCAGCAGAAAAATACGCGTTATTTTATCTGCTAGCTCCGCCTACGTATCTTACGTCCAACTCAAGTGTCCTGATATAAATACCGACCGAGCTCAGCGTCGTCAGCTGTTAGCTTTCGGGAATAAGTAATACGATGACATTTGAAGATATCAAACCGAAAGTGCCCTTCACTTCCCAGGCATGCGTCGTCATAAGATAAGTGCTGTAGGAAACATTATAGCTGCTTAAGTCTTACTTGAAAGTCTCCTTACCTCGAGGCGTACTTCCGTGTTGTGAGTTATTAAGATATAAATAAATGTAGCCACGCAGTAGCTACGGTTTTATAACGCCTACGCAGACGTATTTTCGGTAAGAAGTCGATAGCTATATATGTGGCGTTATAACTCGTGAATACATTTGCATTAGCCTAGGCATGAAGAGCAAAGCTAAAGCTATGGGTGGATCTCAAAGCTCTTCTGTGGCCTCAAGTCATGAAGACTGTCTAAGGGTTCAAGCTGCAGGATCGTCAGCTTCATTTTCACTACAGAGGGTAAGCTGTGTATTTCCTACATTATCCCAGACACTGAGTTAATACGCAAGGAACTGCTGATAACAACAACCATGCTGTTATATGGAAGCCCATTTCCGCCTGTAGGCACGTTTTTAATTGTTATTTGTATCGAAACCATAACTATAGTATCTCAAAAATAAAGGCATGCAACATAATTAACCTTTTCAAAAATGATATCAAAATAAGGAGTATTTCAGAAAGATTTGCTTAATAGGTCTAGCTGAAACTCAATAAGAAACTGTCTCAAACTATGGCTTGGTGTCTTAAAAACAATAATGATATATTGAGTAAGTATCTCAAAAAATGAATAAGTATTTCGCAATAATAGAATTCTTTATCAAAAATAATTGCTTAGAGGCAGCACTATACAGGATCTGTTTTTTATCAGGAAGTGTTTATCTTATTTGTTCTTAACTGGCAGAAATGGACTAACATACATTAGTTCTTGCAATATGAATAATTTTCATTTAAATAAAAAAAATGATTTCAGACCATGCAGTCTATATGTTTCAGACATACACAGAGGGTTTGCACTATTTATTTTATTATAGTATTTATTTTATACTTGTCAGCCACTGAAATGACATGTCTCAGTCTGTAAAATCTGCCATCATGGACATGTTCTAACTGTCCCGTTGATTGGTCATAGGCTAAACTTAATTGAGTTGACATCTCTTTTGGTTTCTCTTTTGGCTAGACTGCTTCTATTTTGTAAAGGAGGTGCAGTAACAGCCCAAACTTTTATTTACAATCACAACTGAGCAACTCTTATTTGGTAAATTAGGTATTTTCTACATCTTTTACTTCAATAATGGTCTGTTTTAACTGCTTGTGCTGAGAAAAATGCTGATGTTTCTTAGTTTGAAATGATATGGTTATCTAAGCAGGGGGAGGGGGGATTTGGTCCAAAGTCAGTGTTTGAAAACAAACCTGATTATCCAGAGCTTGAGCTTATCTGTGTCCTGTCTGTTCTTTTCAGGAGTTTGATCTCCCTCTGTTGATCCTGGAGGAGATCTTCCTGAATCTGCCTCCTAATCAGGTGGTCCGGGCTTGTCGGTTAGTGTCCCATCAGTGGAAAGAAGTGGTTGATAGTGAGTCCCTGTGGAAAGAGAGATGTAGAAGAGAAGGATTTCACCTCCGTGATACTTACAAAAAACCCAAAGACTGGAAGTTGTTTTACTTCTTGTGCAAGCAGAGAAGAAATCTTCTGAAGAATCCAAGAGGGGAACGTAAGAAACCTCGTAACTAACTTCACTCAACATCTGATTGCCACTGTAATCGGTTACTGCTCAATAACAAATTAGCTCTACAAAATAATTGATCTCACAACCCTCCTTTGTTTAACAGATAAGATGAGGAACTGGAAGATACTGGAGAATGGTGGCGACCGTTGGAAAGTAGAGGGATTATTGGTGCCACACCAAAATGAGAAAGTCCAGAAAAACTTTGTTACTTCCTACGGGTGAGTACTCACCAACAGTTGTGGAGAAAACAAACAGTAAATATGACATGATATGATCATTTCTATTGTGTAGCAGCTGAAACCCTGTCTGTTTCTGCAGGATGTGCAGGAAGGAACAGCTGATTGACTTGGAGAAGGAAGGTTACAACGCATCGTTTATGGATCACTTCCAGCCTGACATCAAAATATCTGATTGGTGAGAAGAATACACATTTCATTCTGACACAACTCTAGAGTAATTCCTACATTTATGGCAAATTGAATCAGTGACCATCAGTTACTTTACTTTGTTAAAAACCATATTAGTAACAAAAACATTGAAGTGCTAAATATAAAGTGTTATTTTCGATATTACTTTAATACATTTAAACCAGTTTTATGAATGAAATCCAACTTAATGCACACCTGTCAAATTTCAGACTTGATGGATTACATTAGAACGTTGAATGATGTCCATACATCTACTGTAGATAACAATACAAAGCTCACATAACAGGCACATTAAATAAGACATAAGACTTTATACTGCCTTTTAAATGAAGGGGGCTATTGGAACAGCTCATGGTGCTGGAAGTTAAATAAACGTAGCTTAAAGGGGACCTATCATGCAAAATGTACCTCTTTTATACATGAATATGTGTCCCCGGTGTGTCAGGGAACTCACCAAGTGTCAGAAAATACAACCCTCTCTATTTTCCTCCATACCCAAATCTCTAAAAACGGGGCTGCAACGGAGCTGATACAGATTTGAATTTTTCTGACGTCAGAAAAGGGGTGCTCCGCCTATATGGGCAACTCTCCACCTATCAGGGGAATGGGGGGTTGGGCCACGGCCATTGCCGCTCGAAAGCACTGGAGACGCTGTCGTACATATGCCAGGCCTGTAAGTGGCGCTGTAGTCTGCCACAAAAGCAGCGAAGAAGACTTCTCACAGAATCAGCCCTTGCAAAAACAGGGCTGGAAAAGAGCAAATAGAGCGAAATGAGGCATGGCTAAAATGCATGATCTGTTTGGTATTTTGAAAAAAAAACTTCACAGACATGTTTTATATAGGTATGGCCCTACAATATATTATTCAAATATAGCATGATGGGTCCACTTTAAATTATCAAAACAGATTTGCGTCAAAAACAGAACTGTAATTTAACTGCAAAAAGAATAAGGCCTCTGCTCCTCCTGAGTGGGAAGCTAAATCTCTAGTCTGACTTTTAGGAATGTCTTTCTTCTCCTTTAAACAATGAACAATGCTGAAAAACTTGTGTTTGGACCTAATTGCTGACTACAGATCTATGTGCGCATGCTTTTGCATCTTTGTTATATTAGGTATGCACCGCGATGGGATTGTGGCAGTCAATATGAGATCTGTGTAGAGTTGCTGAATCACAGCAAGGGGCTCGTCCAGACTTTTGCTCCTGACACCATTACCTTTGAGCAGTGGAACGATCAGAATTGGAATCAGGTATGTGCAAAGCATGAAGCAATAATGAACACCGTGGCATTCAGAGGAGGTGCAAAGCTCAAGGACGATTATTGACTTACTGATTTGTGTTCTTTTCAGCTGACCCATGTATTCCAGAACTACGGACCAGGAGTGAGATACATCCGCTTCACCCACGGAGGCAGGGACACACAGTTCTGGGCAGGATGGTACGGGATTCGTGTCACCGACAGCAGCGTCGAGATCTGTCCAGCAGCGGACACGTAGCTCTTAGGGATTCCTCCAATGCCTGCATCCTGCCTTTGCCTATAATTGCACCTTCTTTTTGGAATCAAACTATGTTCCGTTTTCCTTTTATAACCACATTTTACCTTTTGAGTATAGGTCTACTAATATGGTATATGTATGTATGTGTTTTGCTTTGAAATGTAATTTTCACCCGCAATGCTGCCCCAAATGAAGAAATATGAAGTTAACATGGATATATTTGAAAATGCTATTCTAAATGAAAAATTTTGTTGGAAACAATAAAAAAAAAAAATCATCATTATTTTTTTCATGGTCTCTGGTTGATCATTTAAAAAAAAAAAATGTGGTTCATTGGAAATTACCCACTTTCCCCGAAGAGCCTCGTGCTCATATCGATGCTGGGAGGCAACATGTTTCAGTAGAAAGTCATTATGAAAACACAGTGCAGTCACATTGAAAACAGTCACACCTAGTTTCAGTTTCAACTGTAACCTTCTATAGGAAAATTGAAACTTTGAGTCTGAATTAAATTGTTTTCCATCTAGTGTTTTTGGATGCCAACTGGATATGTAATCTGTCAGGACAAGATGCTACATACTGTAACGAGGCAGCCTGCAGAAAGGATAGATTAGCGGCTTCTGATGTTTAAGTTTGCTTCTCAGTTGGTGTGATTAAACAAGTGAAGGGATATGAATGCATCAGTGGGAGCAGAATGACTGCTACATAACAAGAACATGTCTAAACGGTTAATCTCACAGCTCACAAGGGATATTTAAAATAAATTATGTAATAACCTGCCTTAACAGAATAACTAATATGATATGCACTACTCTGAACATGTTTAATGAAACCTTGTGGAAAATGTATAGAAGTTCATAACCTTTTATGATGTAAACATGAAGTCGGACAACACGTAATATTTGAAGTTAGGTTTATTCATAATACTGGTTTATTGTGATGCTTAACAAGCAGGATACAGTACAACTTTGATGTCAACTTGATTAAAAACCATAGGG